GAAAAAATCAGAGTGCAGGTAAATCTCGTAATAAGTGACTAAAACACAGTCCGGTTTTAATCAGTTTTGCAACGTGAATACTTTTAGTACAAGTAACCGAATCTGTTATCACAGCAGTTTATAATTTACTGTCACAATAATGCGAAATAACCTGATGATGAAACGAGCACTTAAAACTTTAAACTTGCAAGCTAACAGTTTGCTTTTGAATTTTGAGTCAAGTCTCTAAACAGTTGTCTTTTCGTATATTAAATGCTTATCGTTACCAATCACCTCTGAGTCTCAACTCTTCGCAATATCATAACATGACAAACTACTTTAAATTAATCACTTTTGTCATCCACTAATTGAGATGTTTATAAGGATCAAATCAACTAAAACAAACAGAGTGTTCGACCTTTCAAAGTAACGTTTGATTTATTTCCCGACTTGCAGTATTTACATGTATTGACGAAACACGGCAGCTGAATTTTTGTTAATAAACTTTTATAGCTAAGCCCACTTGGTGATAAACAGTTTAACAAAATGCATTACAGTTAAAAGCGGCTGTGCTATTAAGGTCAATCTTCGTAAACAATTTATTCAACGCATCTTTAGTAGCATCAACAGTTGCGTCTTTATTATGTTCATAGCTATCATCCATGCGACGCCTACGATAGTTTAGAAGGTTAAATCATTGTTCATTACATTGTGACCTGAGCATTTCAATTGAAATTCATCAATAAATGTAAATAGCAATTGAGTGCAACTAAATTTTGAATAAATTATTTTTTCCACAGAAATTTTCTTCTCCTTCAACCAAATAACTTTTCCAGGTTAAAACACAATTCCCAATCTGGAGGCACATTTGAAGCCACAAGAAAAGTATCATCTTCAGTTTCACTGGAAATAATATATTGCTACATTAATTGAACAAAGTCTATCATGAAAAGGAAAATAACTTTCACTAATATCTTCTATTTTCTTCTCTCTTCCATCTTCTTGCCAACACCAACTTATCATCATTACGACTCTACTATCTTCATCATCTAGTCATCTTTAGCCTCACCGTTATACCCATTATCATTACTTTTCCGTGTGATCAAGTCCAATAAATAACAATCAAGTTAACCAACAACAACAAAAATAAAGCCATTATATTGTGATTACCATTTATCACAACTTTACCTTAAAGTTTCACGTAATTACCAATTAAATCAAATATTGATTCATGTTGATTAAATCAAATTGTTTCTCTTTACATTTCACTCTCTTCAATTCAAATAGTCCACAGATGTAAATGCAAGTTAATTAAAGTTGAAAATCATTGAATCGCCCTGAAAAAAAGAAACAAAATGAACTCAGTTGGTGGTGAAACCTGATTGTACAAAGCATTGGTCATTAAAGGTAAAAACTTGATTGTCAACTTTTCCAATGAAACCAACAACCAACTTTCGGTTGGAACGAAAAATAATTAAAAATTCTGTCCAATGTTCATTATTCTCTCATATCTTCATTTTTCATTTGATAAACATTATTACAATTATGATAATCATTGTTTGCTGTTTTCAGACTGTTTTGTATGGAAATGAAATAGTAATTTAAGTAAACCTCCACAAAATAAGACAAGTAGAAACAACTTATTAAAGTTGATTAAAATGATTATAATAATGTTATCCTAAATATCATTGTGAATACGATGTTGTTGATTAAACCCACCTTTTATCGCACCCAAATGTCATCGACTTTTTAGGTAAAGTTTAATCAGCAAAAGGCTATAATCTATGAGAATATAAATGCAACATTTATCCAACTTTTTTAATTCCACCTTTCAACAGTAATTATCTGGATAATGGAATGATGATTAGCATCGTTCGGTAACTTTAACAGTTATTAATGAAAAAAGTGCAAAAGTTGGGCCAAGACTCAAAGGGCGACCGATCAATTTGAACCATTAAAGGTTTGATAAACATCATTGGATTGTTTTGCATTATTGTAAAAAAAACTGATAAGACTTTCATTATTGATAAATGCTGAGTCAAGTTTACCTTAGTAGAGGTTCAAGCTCGAAGGTTGCGGTTTCACTGCTCGCTTTGGCCACTAAAGTTTGTCTAATTGGTTTTATCCATCTTAGGAGTGAATCAAAGTCTAAATGATTCACTTGATTCCATTACGTGATGTAAATCGGGTTATTTTGTAGCATTTTTGTGACAAGAAACCAAAATGTAAATATAAGCTTGAGGCCATCATTTTGACCGAATGTTACAACTACAATGAGTGACAAAAGTATAAGACCAGGAAACAAGAATATTTGGTACTCTATCGAGCCGGAATACTTGCAATCCCTTTTTGACTCAATGCAAAATCGATTTCATGAATAATACTAAATATTAAACATTAATAAACCAAGTGGTCTTATGGTTCTGTCACAGATTTTTTTATTTCTGATGTAACATTTTTTGAATAATTTTTATTTTCAATTTTTTGCTTGATGAAAAGATCATGAAAAATGGATAATTTGGACTCTTTCAGAACTTGCATAGCTTTTTATTGCATGAATATTTAAAAAAATCATGTGGTCTTATAATTTTGTCACTCACTCTAATATACAGGGCGATTCAAGCTCATCCACTTCACGTTTAGTTCATTACATCAAATACTCTAAGGAATTGAATCTCTAGCCTATTTCATTCGCAAAAAGGCTGTGCTGAAAACCAACGGATAAAAGCTTGAATCAGTGTGAAGAATGAAACTTTCTATTCGTAAAAGTCGACCGATTTGGAAAATTGCAGATCATCGGGTTAATTTCCATTATTATTGAGACAAGAAACCAAAATGCCAATACAAGCTTAAAGTTGAAATGGATACTGACCATTATTAGGGTGTTCGATAATGCTTTGACCTGAGGTAGTTCCTCTGAATTCTGATAACAATTAACATTTTGACATGATTCTCAGTACTTAATAGCAAATATCTACCGAGTTTGGTCAGAATCGATCTACATTTAGTCGAGTTATCAGGTCAAATTGCGTTTGGAAATCGATTCACGGCTGGATACTAGTTACTCAAAGGTCAAATATGACCTTCCTGTATTAAGAATCGGCTTATTTTGCAAACATATAAAATCTCCAAGCATTTAGCTATTAAATGAGGTAGAGAAAAGTCCAATTTTATCAAAAGGTCAGCCTTTTATGGCCATTTTGCGGATGCGTTACTTAAAATCGATAATTTCTGTATATGTGGCCGCAAAAATCAAATGACAATACTGGCTTGCGACATTTCTAATGCTAAACATTCCTGATGATCTGACCTTTGAAATCATAAAATGTTTTAGCCTTTAATCCGCGATTCTAGCCTGTGAAATCTGCTAATAAGATGTATCCATTATGATTTGTGTTTAGCAAGCAAAGGAGTTTGATGAAGGTAAAGATGGTGAATAGAGCTATCTCGCGAAAAATTTATGATCATGCGATGCCACTTTTTAATTCAATAGATGTAGCCCTATTGATTAATATAACACTTTTAAACTTCATAAAATACTCGAAGAACGCGTTATTTTATCAATAAAAGAGAAAAAGACTGAAATTTAGGTACTTTTTAGAGGGAATCAAAAAAATAGGCATGCCGACGGAATTTTCGAAAATCCTTTCAGACGGTCTTTATATACTTCCCAAGGAAATAGTTCAACTCTTTAGTTCGAAAAAATAATTTGTTTTTCATATTGAGGTCAACACATTATCGAACACCCTAATATAATTGGAATTGAATTTGAAAATTGCAGTTCTGATAAGGAAAGTGCTTTCATGTTGAGTCAACTTTCATCAAGATTTTAATTACTTTCCGTCTTGCTGTTCAACTAATTGGTTCTGTTAAGTAAAATTGTTCAAGATTAAAATCAGGGGAAAATTAAATGATTACAATCATATGGTAAATGTGGTTTACCATGAAAAAAAGATAAGAATGAAAAGGCAAAGAAAAAAGTTGCTCAAACTTAATTTTAGGTTTAATAATTTCTCAATCATAAATTTAATGGTTAAACAATAGGATTGGCGGCCCCTTAATGGTTATCATAATAATAATGATAACATAAATAAAATAATAAAGATGATGATGAGGATGATGGTGAAGAAGAAGAAGAAGGTTGCCTTTGACTCTTCAATTGGCAAAAGAAGAACCGAACTTCACCTTAACACTCAATCAGGTGAGCATTAGAAGGTGCCCTGAGTGAGTGCCAAGGATTGGTTGTGCCATTCAGAAATGATGATGATGATGATTACTTGAAGAAGATGAAAAAGGAGAAGAGGGAGAACGAACGGGTGAGAATAGGAAAATTGGGAGAGAATTTTTCTTTCTCTTGGATCGTTCATTATAGCAAGTCACGAAGTTGATTGTACCTTTAGTTTCAGTTAAGGTGCGAGTCAACTTAGCCGTAAGGCATGATGAACAACTGAAAAACTAATGATGATGATGATGATGAGCGGGAGTTTGTTTAAACTTTTCTTCTTCTTCTTTCTTATTTTCTCTTGAAACTTGAAAATTATCAAGATAAAAGGTTGATTCATCAGTGTTTAAGCACGGTGTTGATGAAGTTGTCATTCCTTCGTGAGACTCTCCCTTCATTCCTGATCATCATCATCATTATCTTTCTCATCTCATTTTTTCTCCTTCTCCTCTTTTTCTATGGAAAAACATTCATCTTCTGAGAAAACTATTAACTAACCTGATTTACTTAATTAAAGGTATGCAAGTTAGTAAAATGTCATCACTATTATCACCCAAAGGGGAAACACTTGGATTCTGATAACACCAAAGGTTCACTTTACTCACCAAGTCAGTTGCTTTCCTCTTCACAAGTTTATCCATTAAATTGTGAGAAACTTTGCCCTCATTCATTGAAACATTTTGATTAATTTCAAACCAATTTATTAATAATCATTTTGAATGCAAAAACAAATCAGTTTTGATCACAACTTGAAACATTTCTTCACATTCAAATTATAAGAAAAAACATGATTGGCCATTATAATGTAATAATTATTGGTTAAACGTTTCCCTTTTAATTAAAGAGGAACCCAAAATTTGATGACTTAATTTAAAATTAAAAACTAGTCTCTGGTTGACTTGAGTCTAAGAAAAGGTAAATGTTATCATTCGATTAACATAATCTTTTGGGTTTGCCGTTAATATTTTCAATGTTTATTATCCAATGAAACTTATCCCAACTGTAACCAGAATATTATAATGGCTGCCATTAAGCAACAATTAACAGTCTTTAACAAGTAAACAAGTGTCTTCATTTTAATCATGAATTCAACATTTAACTCAAGTGAATCCCATTCATTGGTCGAAGGATTCAGCCAAGCTCTATTAATAGTAACAGTTTCAGAACTGGGTGATAAAACATTCATAATAACTGCAATAATGGCAATGAAGTATCCAAAACATTATATTCTTATTGGTGCATTATCGGCTGAATACATCATGGTAACATTTTCATGTAAGTATATTAATATTAATGCCAAGTAATGCTAATAATAATGTTAACTTGACATACTCAAGTATAGCAAGTTGGTGCAATAGAGAAGAAGGAAAAGGAAAAGAAGAAGAAGAAAAAAAAAAACTTGAAAGTGACAAAGTTAACATGATAGTTATTGAGATAATAATCGGGCTAAAAAACATGATGATTGTTCAGTGATGAATGAACATGTACATACCTTGTAAAAATAGTCAATGTTGATTCAGTAAAGGTTGAGAGAAGAAGAAGAAAAAGAAATGAAAAAGTGAACTTCTTTTTCCTTCCAATTTGCGTTGAGTTGAAATTAATTTGATGATAAATTATCTGAAACATGAAAAGCAATTGAAATTGCATTTAGAATGAGAAAAAAAAGAGATTTTGGTGTTTTTTTGTGCACAAATCGGAATTAATGATAATTTGTGGAATAATTTCAATTGGAATCATTTTTTTCTCCCTTTTCTGCATTTAAATATTATCCATAATAACTGGTAATAACTCATTGATAAATGCAAGGAAAAGTTGAGTAAATTCAGGGGAAAATGTTCAAGCTGTTATTTCATTTCAATCAATTCGTCTGAATTATTATCAGACTGGATTTAACAGGCTTACAGTTTGATATTGAAATTTTATTCAAATGAACAGTAAACTGAATGTTGCTTTCATGATGAATTGGATTGAAATGGAAAGAATACAAAATGACGATAATTTGAGTTAATCTTTTTTCTTCCTCTGATTAATCAGATTCCAAAGAAAATTGACCTTTTTTATTTTTTTACCTTTTTGACATTTTCTGTCGTTTGAAAGGCAAACATTGGTAAAAGTCAAAAGGTGAAAATCATGATTAAATACTTTTCTTGTTTCATGATAAATGCATGATAATTTTGGTTTGTGTACTTGATTCAAATCTTTGATCAGACAGTAAAAGATGAACAGAAAATGGATAAACAGGAAAATGAATTCTCATGCAGATTCACAGAAGTCATCATCAATCTGTTCATCAATTTTGTTATCATGTTTTCTGTTTTTGTTTTTTTTTCTCTTCTTTTCCTTTTTCTTTTTCACTTTCTTCTTCTTCTTCCATGATAAATGATATTCTAATAATTGAGTATTCAACCAGTGCTTTTAGGCTTAGCAACTTCAATGGTTCCACAGACGATAATTCATTACATTTCCATTATCCTGTTCTTCATAATAGGAGTTACCATGATTTATGAAGGTACGAACTTGAGATGATTTTTATCATGATGAAAATCGTTTTCACCCCACTTTTCACCGTGCATTCTGTTCTCGGTGAGTCGCTTCAACTGAGAAAAGTTCATTTTTCAATTGATATTCTTTCTCACCTTTTTCCTTTGCAATTCTTTTCTTTTACTCGATACTTTTCTCGTTTTGTAAATCATTTGTTTAACCTTTATCCTTTGAACACTCAATGATAACATTTGTTTTCCAAGATGGATTATTTTCCATCATGTTTCATGTCAACCTTGCTCTGTTTTCTTGGTAACTTCAAAGACTTTCTGTTATTAATGGATTTTCACTTTTTGCTTGCAAATTTTCCGATTCTCTGATCATTCCATTTCAATCATTTCATCTCAACTTTTTGATTCTAAATTAATTTCTATTTAGCTTAAGGTTAATCTGTTTCATGGTTGTGTTTTTTTTCTGCTTTGCTCCAGATGAAAATGAAAAGGAAATATATTTATAATTTTTTCTTTTTTTCTTCTTCTTCTCTTCTCATTGGAAAACATGGCATTCCAGGAATAGCATGGAAAGACAATTCGGATCATAATGATAATATTATTAATAAAGATAATAATAGCAATGCTATTAATAATAGTAATAATAATGATAAGAATGATAATAATGTTGGAGTTTTGATGGAAAACAGATTGGCTTCAACTGCTGCTAATAATAATGCTCCTAATGAAACAAGGAAATTCTGGTTCAAGAATTCGATAGCAAAACATGAATCCTTCGTAATCATTGAAATGTTTACAATGGTTTTTATCGCTGAATGGGCAGATAAATCACAACTAGCGGTGATTATTTTAACGGCACAACAAGTAAGTTGGTTGAACATTTAAAATTAGTCAAATTTTTGTCACTCTTTAAGCAAAATCTCAGGTAAGTAAAGTGCATGATGAATTCAAAGTTTTCACTGAATGTCTCAAGGTGCAAAAGGCTTTAGTATTAGACTAAATTGTGCGATTGAAGTTTAACTTCAAATGATTTGATTTTTAATACAAATAAGACACAGAAAACTCAAAGTTAGAGTCATTGATAATTGTTGCTTCAAACTTTATTGAAGTCTGAGTTTGACTCAAAGCTCGATTTGTGTCACTACAAAAGTGATAAACATTATTGGATTATTTTTCATTATTGTAACAAAAACTGATAAGACTTGAGCAACATTATTGATGAATTGATGATTCAAGTTTAGCTTAAAGGTTCAAACTTAAGCTTACTTGAGCTTTACTGCTCCTTTTGATGACTGAAGTTTGTTTGGCTTTATCTGCTTAATTACATCCAATCTTATCTAACAAGTCAAAGTTCAACTGATTACTTTATTCATTATTAATTTGATAAGCATCATCGGGTTATTTCGCATTATTACTATGACAAGAAACTAGAGACTCGTGAATATTTGTTGACATTTTGTTAATATAATTTTATTAATAATTTGAATTTCTTGATGCAGATGAAACACTTGCAACCTAATCTAACCAAACCTAACCTAACTTAACCTAACTTTAACCGTTGGTAACATTACATTTTAATCTCTTCAAATCATAACACCAACAGAGTCACTGATTCATCTCGATTTATCGACTCGCTGGCAAGTTTGTACTTGCCATTAAAGTAAAGCAATAATCTAATTTATTTCTCTGTAAATTAATCTAGAATAAACTTGGCGTTGCTCTCGGTGCTTTTGTTGCTCAAACGTTTTGTATGATTGTTGCTGTTATTTCAGGTGCAATTATTTCCAATTACGTTTTACCCAAAACTGGTAATATTAATGGAAATTTAATAACAAGATGATAATTTTACTTTTATTTCTTCCTTTCTCTTCCTCTCCCAACAATAATAGCTTTAATTTTCGGAGGATTGACATTCATAGCATTTTCAATTTACACAACTTTAAGAGGAACCAATTAGTAGCAATCAATGATCAACTTTCATTTTGTCCAGCAAAGTTATTAAACCATTAAAAAAATTGTCTCATCAATCAACCTTGACCTTAAGTTGACCAGCGAAAACCAGAAGACATCCATTTGAATGACCTTTACTAGATGGCGACACAATTAAGAACAAAAATGTCACACTGATAATGATGAAACATTTTTTTTGCTTCTCAAGTTAAACTTGAATTCACTGTTTTTTCATCATTTGAGGCAAGAAGATGAAAAAAGGCAATCATTAATCAAGACAAGGTCAAGCCTACAACACATTCTTGAACAGTGTCAATTGAGGTTTTTCTGGTTGAGATTTTTATTGAAAAAAACAACTCCAAGTGATAACATCATTTACTATGTCAACTGATTTATTTTTTGTACTTTTTTTGCTTACTTTTCCCTGATAAAGCTTCATGTTGGTTAACCAAGTTTAAGATTTATTTGTTGATCAGTTGAACAATTTCGTATCTTTACAGAACTTTTCAGTTTCTCACATTTTCTCGACTCTACTTTTTGGACAATCAATAAATCACTTTCAAAGTTATTCAATTGTTTTGCCTGAATGTGATGCAAGTCTTTTAATTTACTGATAAAAATCGGAAAACGGTTCAACTGATTAACTCTTGACAGCAAAAAAGTAGCAAAAAGATTCAATTTAAAACAATTCAATTTACTATTGAAATTTATTTCGCCAAACTCATTATCTGAAAAAGAAAGTTTCAACATTTAAATTTGATTCCTTTTTGTTCAATGTTTAAACCATTTCAACTGGCTTAAGGTTTGGATGGTTGGAATGATTATTGGAGAGAAAATGTTGAAAATGTTGTTGGCAAGAAGAGAAGATAAAAGTTCAACTGGAAACTCATGATTCTTGAGATTCGTCTTAATGTTCATCAATGGACATGTTATCCAGATAGACTCATCACTTAACAGAACCATATAATACTTTGATTGTTCAACAAGACAATGCCATTATTTGACCTTTTTATGTTTCTCATTTTACGATACTTTTTATCCTTTCTCCAACTCTCATCAACCTCTTAAAGAGTCTCTCAATGTGAATAACAAATATATTTGAAAACACCAACAAAAAAAATCAACTTCATCCTCTTTGAGCCATTATTTTTATTATGGCTCATTAAAAACTTATAGAAACCTATTTGATGGCCTTTTTTGTTCACTTGTTTTTGGCCCATTCCATCATTTAACTTTAAATTGATGAAGAGAAACGAAAACTGCAAAGTTATTGCCATTATCTTATTCATCACCAGCTTTTGCTCATTTCATTGCCAACAATTTAATGATGATAATTATCTTGCAAAAATGATTCTGCAATTGTCGACAGATCTGTTGTTTTTTTCAACTCACATTTGCCGCCATCATTTCATTTTAATTTCAATTTTCACAAATCCCACCTATTTTAACACTTTCATCATGAAATTCATGTTGTTTCACAGCTCAGTGCCATTGGTTGTAAAAATTGACCTTTCAAATGATAAGATTCAGTAAGTTCAACTTTATATTGCAAGTCAATTTGGTTGAGCTACAGTCGCCCTCTATTGCTCGAAATATACACTAGCACGTGGTTAACATCTGATTCAGTTACAATTGCTCTTATCAACAAGTTTATCTTTATTGTAATTTCACATTGAAATATATGTAAGATTTTAAGGTCATTTAATAATATTTATTAATAATAATCATTTAGCGGACAATATTCCCATTGAATTAACTAAATTTAGTTAAACCAATAATTAAATAAATACTACGTCCAATCACTAGTTCCAGTCATTTCATGTTGCCACTTTGGAGTCATAATTACAACTCCACTCAATAATCCTTTAGTTAAAATAAAGAGTTAGTTTTGCCCTTCTGACCATTGTTAAGAATATGAAATAAGACAGGGAAATAGACAGAATAAAGAAAGAGGAGAATAATTTCGACCATTTCTCTTTCTCAATTTAAACACTTAATGTTTGAATGTTACATATATTCTGAAGATTGATAGAAAAAATTTATTGAATTCTTTCATTAGTGATTGACTCATCTACAGAGTCTGTAATTTTGAATCATTTAAAGGTTGGATAAGAAAATTTTGATTTACACAAATCTAAATAATTTTGCAATGAAAATCAAAGATTGATGAAATTTGAATTTATTTGTTGATTAATTTTCAAAGAAATATCTATCTGATTTCTTTTGGAATCAGTAATTAAAAATTTCAAATCATTTGCTGAATTTTTATATATTTTTCAATCGAACATCTTTTTCAATGTAAACTATTCTACCGTCAACTTGCACTTGCAAGTTGAAAACACTAATAGATGCATCGATACCGATTTTTATAGTGCTCAAAACAAAAGGAGTAGCCCATGAGCACATATCATCATAGTACACGTATGGTTTTATAATTTGTTTATCGAGGTCAAATCGTTTATTACCATCTCCGATATAGCCTTCCACGTCTAGTGTACGAAACGAGCACACAAATTGTAATACGATTCCATATTTGCTCGTCAGAGTTATAGTCAATTCATTTTTCATAATGTCTTTCCAATAATAAAGTCGATAAAGTATTTGTTTTTCGGTTTGGTCAAAAGCAAGCAGAAACGAATCATCGCCATGCACCTTATTACAGCACTTAACATATTGAGCGTGATAGATTGGAAGTTGACTAGTATCTCGAGCAACTGCGACTTCCCTTGAGTCGCTATGCAGTTTTACTGATTGTAAACTATCTTTCATCAGATCTATACCCAGAGGCCAGATGGAATCGCCAATATTGAAAGTCCAAGTACAGTTTAAAACATCATCCATGTAATCTGATGATCCAGTTGTTAAACTGTAGGCGCCTCGATCATACCTTGCTCCAGTTGACCCGTTAGACGATTTATAACAAGTGTATATATTTGAAGCAAAGCTTGGTTTGTCAATGCTCACTTTGATTGTTTTTGCGTCATCTGAGGCTACATTATAGCCTGTCAGGGTTATTTGAAGATAATCATATTTACCGAAGACTGGAATCACTGAGAATCGAGCTGTTACAAGATTATTTTCTGAGCAAACACCAGAACCATCATTTGATATACAATATGTTTTAGTTAAACACTCATCATTACATGAGTTTTTAGCTTCAACTTGAAAATTAATTAAGATGAAAATGAACAAAAACGAGAGACACATTTTAATCATTTTGCAAGAACTGAGAAGCTTTCTCACTTAGTCGACACTTTTATAGTCTTGGAATTGGCAAGCGAAAAATGGTAAAATTGAGGCGTAAATTTTCTCACATGTTCATCGATTTTATCGGCTATTTCTCTATTTTTCAATTACATTTATGATTTTGAATTATCATAGATGCTTAACGATTAAGCAGTGAATTGTCAATGTATTACAAATAATTCCGACTAAAATGTTTCTTGTTATTTATGTAACAATCTGTATCATTTCTGCGAAACCATCATGATCGTTAAATGATATGCTCTATCACATGAACAAAATTTCAATTCTATTGCAAAAACACAAAATTAACCAGAATTGTTGTGTTTCATTATAATTGTTTACCATCAATTGTATCATCATTAATGCTTTAAATGAAACAGTTTCTGAGTGGATGATCAAATTTCACGTTATATTTGACATGATATTGAATATAATCTTCAATTACTTCTCATGAAATTCACAAAAAACGCACTTATCTTTTTACCTTGTTCACTATTTATTATTCATTGTTTGAAATGTGTTATTGTTGACCGAGAGATTCATAGTAATTTATACAAAGCATTGTTTTTATCTTAGATTTTGTATTTCGATATTTAGATGATATTCTTCGATAAATTGAGTAAATGAAGAATTAAAAGTGATGATAAGCACATAAGCATCAGGAAATTAACAAGTTTCATGCAAAACATTCAATTCCTTGTTTTGTGCTGAACCATGTAAATGATCGCTACTCTCTTCCTTGTCTTTGCTTTCGCTTCTTCAGATTTTGGTAACTGTCCAGTCCCCCTGGTACTGAGATTAGCAAAGTAAGTTCATAATAACAAAATTTACGTAAATGCATAGATGTTTCATTGCTTAGTCGAAGGTAGTCGAACTTTTTTCAGAGCATCAAAGCCATGATTGAACTACAATTACGACAATTTCGGTAACATTGGCATTTAATTTACCCGCTCAGTTAACAATCAAACTAAAGAGCGTTTCAGCAATTTTTGTTAAAATCTGGCACAATATTAGAATATTTTTCAATACCATTCTCATGATTCATTTTCATTTGATTGTAAAAGCTAATTTCACCAACAATTTAAACAATATTACCATTAAATAATTCATACTATTTGCAACTCTTTTATGATTATTAGATAATTGGGTGCAAAATAAAATTAATACGATAATATCAAGTGAAACTCATTTATCTTTTTACAAATTACCATCAATTTTTATTTCATTTTCCTTGAATATCCATTCGTCCTTTTATTTCAATCTTTCACATTCAACTTAATGATTCAATTTATTTGCTCAACTACATTAACAAGACTAATTTCAAGATGAAAATGATGAAGAAAATGAAGTCAATATTAATGTAAACTGCAATAATATTGATAAAAGTAAACTTTTTAGAAAATGTGAATTTCTATTTGAAAAAGTCGTCTTTATCAACAGATAATTGATCAAATATTAACATGAAAAGATGGAAATGAAATTTTTGTTTCAAAATCTTTTCATTAAACCTTTTTATTCAAATGTTTATTCAATAAACTTCATAATGAATAAGCTTTGAAAATGTTTCCTATTAATCCAATTACCATGTTTTTGTTTAGAAAACTTTTTTTTAATTAAAAGTTAACCTTGATTGATGTGAATATTACTGACTAAGAATAAAAGAGAAGAAAAATTTTCTTTATCATTAATTCTCATCATGCTGAGCTGAGAAACTTACAGAATGGATGAAAAAAGACTGAAGAGAAAAGGTTGAAACTAAAGACAAATAATCAAGAAAGTTGTTCAATATTCATTCATTTTCATGTTTACCTGATTACCTTTGATTGAATCCAAATGTTAACCAATTTAGTAATTAATGACTTGTTAATAGATGGATTAATGTTCATTTTTTTCGACTTTGCTTTTTCTTCTCATGAAGAGAAAGAAAAATGGTGAAAATGATGAAGATTATTCATGGAATTTTCTTGTTCATTTTCTTGTTTATTATAACAGGGAATTTTAATTTAATAATATGATAATGATGCTCTGATTTCCGAGTGAATGAAAGATAAATCAAAAGTGTTTGACTTGAAGGTAACTCGAGTTTAGTCAGAGTCAACATTGAAACTTTTGAGTGTTAATCGATTCGATCATGATAAGAGTAAAAAAACGATTTAAACTCATTCAAGTGTAATTGAAACCTCATCAAGATTCGATTGTTGT